TACAGCAAGAGGCTGAAATTCAGATCCATTTTGTTGTCTTTCTGCTTCTAAACAACCCCAGCTAGAGGCAGGCAGGCAAAGCAAGGCCCTATGAACCACCATGCTGCCACTTCACTGCCATGTGGCAACAGTGGAGGACTGCAGTTGCAAAGGGGAAGATCTCACAGGTTGGGGAAGATACCTATCTCACTCAAAACCAGCCTGCTGACTGGGGCTGATGGGAGTTGTAGTTTAAAACAACTGGAGGGCCCTCTGGTTGGGGAAGGCTGGGGAAATTTTAAAAAATCGCATTGTGAACAAGGCTGCAAGGGAGGAATGAAGCAGTTGCAAGGGGAATTTGGGTTTTCTCTCATTCAGAGGCCTTTGGCTGCATTTACAGCAATCCCACAGACACATACCTGGAAGTAAGTTTGATTGAACTCAATGGGATTTACTTCTAGGTAGACATGCATAGAGTTGCACTTTAAAATACCAAGACTGCTCAAACAAATTCCCAGCAAGGGCTCCAGACTGGTTCAGACACTGGAAGTAGCAGGCCCAGCTGTTTTGCAGTAGACAGCTACCAACAACCAGCTTGCACATTCTTTCCTGCTTTTACTGCCTCCCATCAGCTGTCTCACATCGATAAAAGCCTCTCCTGCCGAGACCCTGAGCAAAACGCACCAGATCAATGACATGTTGGCCTACTGTAGCTGCAGAGGAGACCTTTGGGTGTAAAAACAGAAAAACACTTCCAGCGATAGTTTTACAGGCACAGCTACGGTCACAGGCGGTGTATGCAGCTAACACAAATGGGGCAGCTCAGCCCAGATGACAGAAAGAACTGGATAGCATGCTGCTTATGGGACAGAAGAGATTTCGGGAGGAGGTTCCTGCCCACCAGGTAAAGCAATGCTGTACTACTGGTTTTGCATACATGGAGATGGAGTAAACACAAGAGTCCATCTACCCCAGACCTGTTGTTCTGAGTGGCAACAATTCTCCAGGATCACAGGAAAGTACTGCCTCAACACCCAAAATCTTTGTAAGTGGAGATACTGACAGGACCCTCAGCATGCAGATCTACTGCTATCTTCTTCCCCTCTCCTGGTTTCTGGAGAGCGCAAAGAAGATAGCAGGAGTTACTTTGAAGATGGAGTGGCAGAAACTAAACATTCCATCGTGCATTAAACAATTGTCCATTCCATTTCCCCACCCCAAGGCAGCTACTTCTGACTCTGTAGGCTACTGACTGCAGCAGAGAGCTGTTGGCCACAAACTGGAATGCAGGTCAGGAGGCCAGAAATTTGGTTGCACAAGAGAATCATCTTATCAAGGAGATCAGTTTGTGCTCTTCTCTTGCCTGCTCCTTGCAATGAAATGCAATGAGACCCTTGTATTCCATGGCACAATATAAAGCTAGGGTTGCCCAGTGGCTCACTTTTAGAGCAGTGCCTGGCAGCTGGATCAGGCCAATGGCCCATCTAGTCCAGCATCCTGTTCTTACAGTGGCCAACCAGATATCCCAATGGAAAGCCTGTAAGCAGCACCTAAGCAAAAGAGCCCTCTCCCTTCCTGTGGCTTCCAGCAACTGGTATTCAGATTATAATCCTCAGTTTGACGGTGGACTTGATTTGGAAGGCTATCTGGCCCAAGTCTGGTTTAAAGATAAAGAACCCCAAGAAGGGAGAGCAGAGAGCTATCCAGGCCACCTGCCTACAGTCTTCGGCCATTGTGGTGAGATGAATGGCATTTCTATTTAACTCCTAAAAAAATTGGCACCTACACATGAATTGGCATATACTCTCCCCTTTGCAAATCTGTGTCATCTTGGATGCTGTTCCAGTGGCCACCCTAGAGCAAGCCTTACATGGTTTCATAAATGAGAACAGGACCTCACTTTTGCCCTGGGCCTTCTGTGCTTTTAAAGGAGAAGGCTCAGCCAGAGCTCCCCTGTTGGGACCATGCCACACCTTGCAGATCTGTCTTCAAGAGGCTGAAGCACCACCAGTAGAATGGCTGTGCCTTTAGGAGGTTGTCTCGTGGAGCCAACATTGAACAAACAGCAGCTGGCTATAATAAATCCCTCCAACATGCAGGGACACGTGAATGATCTGCTCTCGCCTTCCTCCTCCCTTGTCTATTTTTTTGTAATGACCTAGAACCAAGGAAGGGAACCTTGAAATTGTCAAATCATGGATCTGCTACGTAGAAAAGTGGAAAGAGATTGAGAAAGGAGAGAACGAGTGGAGGTTTGTAGAACTTAGTATCTTCCCTTCTCATTTCAGCTGTAGTGGAGCCTGGTCCATTGGGGCAGGTGTGGCACGCCCCTCCAACCTCAGTCTGCTGCCACCTACCTGCCTGCCTTATTTACCACCAGTCCAGTTGGCAGCACTGCCTGCCAGTGTCCTCCCCCTCCTCCTTAGGCTCAGTACTGCCCTTGTTGAACAAAGCAAGGAGGATGGGAACAAAGCTAGAATGAGTTGACTCCGCCTAACATTGGCTCTGGTGCCATCTATAGTTGGGCCTCCTGCCTTCTGCCCTACCAGCTCCAATGGCCAGCCATGGCCACTGACTCCAGGCATGCCTTTTTCCTAGGGCGGGGGGGGGGGAGAGATGGAAGATGACGTAGGTGATAGAAAAGTGGGATGGAGGGAGGGACCCAGAGGGAGAGGGAGAGAGAGTGGTCAAGGGGAATATGGGTGGGGCAGCTAAAAAAAGGAAGAAGTAGCTGATATAGCCTCTGTAGGCCCACGGCTCAATTGTCCACAGTGCTGCCATATGCCGGGACCTGGCCCTTTCTTTCAAAATCACTCCTTTGGAAAAAAAGAAAAGCACAAAGTATTCTGTGAATTCCGGAAAACTACACCTCCTAATGACCCCGTAAGTTTGTCTTTCTTTGAAAACCTATTTCCCAACTGTTAGCATACTTTTAAAGGTTTGTCTGTGTGTTTTTTAAATTATTTGGCAAAAAGTCTCATTATTATTATTATTATTATTATTATTATTATTAATTATTAGTATTTTTGGACCTCTGCAAATACTATATACATTCACATTAAAGGTACAACGTTTCTGCCCTGAGCCCATGGCTGGGCAGCCTCCGAGAGGGTCCCCCGCCCTCCGTCCCTACAGCCGTGCCATTTCCCCCCATATTGCACTACCGTCCTCAGCGCTTTGTACAATGATGCATGAAATGTGACAAATCGACATTGTCTCCTCCTCCTCCATCATATCTAAGGACAAGCATCTGTTGGTTTCCTCCCAGAAATAATTGTAAACCTAGTGGGAATGGAAGACGAAAAGAGGCCTGAGGTGGGGAGAGCAAAAACATACCAAGAGAAAGGGGTTAAGGGAAAAAGAAAAGAAGGGGGGCAAAGATGTTTTTTGTCACAGGACATTTGAAAGATGAGACATGTACACACACACACACACATAACGAGAAGCCAAGGGGTATCTACAGGCCATGGACGTAGGAGGGAAAATGAAATACTTCCTTCGATTCTCGTGGGTGTTTGGAAGAAGTCAGGATGACAAAACTGCAAAAAAAGACCGCCTGGAGTTTGGGAGGTTACGGAGAGCAGAGAGAGGTAGTGGAGGAAGGGTAGAAGCTCCAGGCGGAAAGCCCTGGGTACAGTTATTTTCTGCTCAAGAACAGGCAGAAGACGATCACAGGTTTTTCTGGAACAGTGCTCTCTCTCTCTGGAACAGGCTGGGTGGGTGTGTAGGTGGCTGTTTATAACTCTTTTTTTTTTAAACAAAAAAGCTCTTTGAGAGAAAAAAAATGCAACAGATTTATAATCCACCAAGGGAGGAGGGGCTTCCAAGAGTCACTTCTGCCTCTTGCACACACACACACACACACGCAAACACACACTCTCCGCACACGCACAAAGTGGTGGATTTAATATAATTTTTTTTGCTTTTTTTTTTTGCTTTATTCTACGAAAATTTCTTTCGATCCCACAGTTGCACGTCTAAGTCCTCCTTCAAAGGGTATACATCGGAACGGTGAAGGTCCAAGTGCATGAAAGCCCCCTCCTCCCACCCCCAACTGCCCACCCCCCTGCCCACCCCCACCCCATCCAAGAACACAAGGAGTTGAAATGAAACCCAGCAGGAATTGCTGTCGGTCAGAACGGCGCAGTTGGCTCTCTGGACCTGCGATGATGCGCATGACTCCTCGGTTCGCAAAAAAACCGCAAAAATAAATAAGAAGCCCCCCCAAAAAACGAGGAGAAAGAGGGAAAAGAAGAAACCAACCAACTGAAAACGAAAAAGAAAAAGAAATAAACTTTGGCAGTGGAAAAAAAGTTTGGATTTTTTTTTCTGTTTTTGGATTTCCTTTGGAGCAGAGGTGAATCTGGTATCTTCTTGGCTAGCTAGCAAGGTAGTTTACAGGTAAGCTTCCTTCACTTGGTTTTTGTTGGGTTCTTTTTGGATTTTATCTTTTCTTTTCTGTTTTACTTAAAGCCAAAGAGTTTGATGATTTTTTATTGTTTATTTATTTTATTTTTTTACAAAAAAGGAAAAAAAATCTTGCTTTTTGTAACTGAAATCCTTTCTCTTTTCTTTTCTCTTTTTTCCATTTCCCCACCTTCTCCCTCTTCTCCTTTTCAGGGAAGGGGGGTTTTGTTTATGGTTTTTTCCCAGTTCCTTCATTTCCTCGAACACATCTCCAGCAGAAGGACGGGCAGAAGCACCTTTTCAGTTCCCTTCTCCCGCCCGCCCCCCTCCAAGTCAAGATGCACGACGCTTGCAGACAAATTCCTCATCCAAAAAATAAAATAAAAAGTAATAATCATAATAATAAATTTCCCCAAATCATATCTGTAAGAAGAAGAATTAAAAGCAAAAAAACCAAAAACTGACGAGTGAACGGAGAAGGTTGGTATTTGCCTTAACTCCACTTAAAGCCCAGGTTTGAGGATTCGTGAGGATTTCGTGTGAGAGATAGAGGTCGTTTTGGAGGTCAAATACGTGTCAGGTAGCTGAGGGTTTGCATTGAATGCAGTTTTTTTTTTCCATTTGGAGAGAAGTGGTAGCAGCAGTGACAGTTGTTGGTCGGCTCCCCGGTTCCCTTTCCCCTTCTGCCCGCCTTAGCGGGACGCCGTGTCCAGAGGAGCCGGCGTGGCCGGCGTGCCGGAACGCGAGGCGGCGGCCGAGCCGGAATCGCTGGGGCTGCCCGCCACGGCTACGCTGGTGATGGAGGTACTCACGGCCACCACGTCTGGCTGAGCCGACGCTACACCCAGCCCTGAAGAGGCTGCCCCGGCAGAGGCCGGGAGGCCTTGGAGAGTCTGCCCACACACGTGGTGATGCTTCTCCCAATCTTTGTGCTGGCAGAAGGAGCCGCAGTAGCGCGCCGTGTTGCATCCGCTGCAGGTCTCGCTTGCCTTGCGCCCGCAGTTCCAACAGCTCTGCAGGAGAAGGCGAAAGCACACAGATCAGCGCGGACCGAAAGACAAGCGCAGGGCTAAGGGGCTCTCTATACTCTCTTCACCGGGGCCACCGAGCGCACGGGCAGTCTCTCCCTCTGGCTGCATTCGCACTGGGCTTTGGCTCAGGTCCAGATGGAGCTCAACGTCATACATTTAAGGAACGGAAAGTTAGGGGGGGAGGAAAAAAGGACCGTCCTCACTGTTTCCAGCCCACTACTCTGGTGCCAATATCCACGTTGGGAGAGGGTGTCACTACCTCACTGGAGTCCTCCTGCTGGTTAATGACGGTCAGCGCATCCTCGGAGGCCTGGCGCTTGGCTTCTGCCAGGGCTCGCTCCATCTTGGCTCGCTCCGTCGTGATCAGCTCGTGGGCTTTCCTCTCCGCGTCTGACACGGCCTTCTGGAGCTCGGACATGGCCTGCCGCTTCACCTCGTTCACAGCTTCTTCTGAAAGGAAGAGCACAGGGCAAGGCGGGAGTCATGTAGGGGGCGCTAAGCAAGGGGCGGCACACTCAGTCTGCAGCCCAGGCACTCCAATGTTGGTGGGCAGCTCACCGCTCTTCCTTAGGTTTAAACGGGACTCAGACTGGACAGGCCTTCAAACAGAGGGCCGTCCTTTGCAAAGTAGGACACTTGGCCACCCTGAGAGGTCTATAACTGAATGCATTTTTGCATTTAACTTCCAAGGTTGTGTGAATGCTAGTGATAATGACCACAGTAGGGATCTAGGAACTGATGGATTTGATGATTTCTGGCTCTAGCTATGTAGTGCAGGAGTTAGTTTTGTTCTTAAACTATTTCCTCATTTCCCCAAAAAACTCACCAGCTTTCCTCCAGATTTCCTCCGGCATGTAGCCAGACAGGGGCCTGGATACAAACTCGCGGTGAGCATCTGGGAGAAAGACAGATGGAGAAAATGCTGTTAAGAAATGCTAAACATTCAACTTGATTTAAAAGCAAAACAAAACACGAAAGCCTAGCAACCTCCTCAGCAGATCAGTGGTGGGAGAGCTCTGGCCTCTACACTTACCTTCTCGACACCTGATGCCATGTATGGCATCATGTGTGGAACAGGTAAAGGCACAAGTGGGCCAATTCCCCCCCAAGTCCTATTGCACTGTGATTTGCAAGCACTAAGAATCAGCTGATCCTTGGGGCTTGCAAAGCTCAGTGCACAGCACTGTGCAAAATGCCAGGTGACCGACAGGCAGGTGGCCCTGTCTATCTGTTACACCTGTCCAGCCAGGGGATGGGGCATGCTTAAGTTATGACTGTGTGTCCAGCTGTTTGGTACAGGACTATCTGCCCCCAAAGCTAATGGTGGATGGAAGCTAGTTTAATGGCAGGGGGCCCCTCTGCCCCTGTGCAAAGTCAGTGGCACAAAATGCCATGCAGTGAGGAAGAGGGATGGCAGGGATTAGTCTAGGAAGAAAGACTGAGAATGTTAGCGGAGTCTTGCTGGAAGAGAGCAAATGAGGACCCAGCTACTCTTGCATCCCACAGTGGCCAGCCATATATGTCCAGGAAGCCCAGTGGTGGGGAGGGAAGGCAACAGCCCTCCCTGAATTCTTTCAATGTCTATCATCTAGTATCGATGAATGGACTCAAATAAAAGAAATATATCCAGAGGCAAACTGCCTCTAAATGTGGAGATTCCATGCAGGCATCATGACTAATAACCATTAACTACCACGAATTTGCCCAACCCTCTTTTAAAGCCATTTAAGGCAGTGGCCACCATCACCGGCCCTTGTGGCAGTGAGTTCCACAAGTTACTTGTGAAGCAGTACTTCCTTTGGTCCACCTGTAACCTCCTCGTTCCTTTCATTGGGTGATCCCCAGATTCCTGTACTGTGACAGAGGGAGAAAAAGCTTCTCTCCATCGTCTCTTTCTCCATAGGTTCTCTGTTTGTGATGCAGTCATGACAGATGTTGGAGAGGTTGATTGGAAGCTGAAGGAAAATAGCTCAGGGGCAGAGCACCTGCTTGGCATGCAGAAGGACCCACGTTCAAATCTATGTCACCTCCAGCTTAAAGGCATCATGTAGCAAGTGATGTGAGTGACATAAAAAAAAACAAACCTGAGATCCTGGAGTGCTACTGCCAGTCTGAGCAGGCAGCACTGGACAAGATGGGCAGAGATGGACATAGGAAGCTGTTTTATACCAAGTCAGGTCCTTGCTCCAAATAGCTCAGTGTTGCTGGCACAACTGGCAGCAGCTATTTAGGGTTGCAAGCAGGATTGCTTCCAGACCTACCAGGAGAGGCTGCCAGGGATTGAACCTGGGACCTTCTACATGCCAGGCAGCTGCACTTCCCCTTGACTTGGGGCACTTCCAGCCAGTCGCTGTTTTGGAGGTGGGATTCAATCACATCCCTGCATTTTCAATCTGCACAATTAAAGCTGATTTGCAGCTCCTGCAGAACAAACCCGCTTCCCTCAGAGACTGGACTTTTTGCAACAGGTGGGAAAGGAACCGGGAAGCGTGGGATGAGTCTTGCTTTGAGGCCACGTCATCTAGCCTCCCTACCAACAAATACAGTGGTACCTTTGGTTAAGAACTTAATTTGTTCTGGAGGTCCTTTCTTAACCTGAAACTGTTCTTAACCACTTCAGCTAATGGGGCCTCCCGCTGCTGCTGCATGATTTCTGTTCTCATCCTGAAGTAAAGTTCTTAACCTGAGGTACTACTTCCAGGTTAGTGGAGTCTGTAACCTGAAGCGTTTGTAACCCGAGGTACCATTGTGACGGGAAATGCTCATTCAATAGCTAACATCGTGTATTCCCCCAGCAAAAAACAAACCAGGCCAAATGCTCAGGAGCCCAACCTATCCCTCGCATGGGTACCTAGAGGGGACGCCTCGGTGTTGGCAGTGCTATTGTGAGGTCGCGTGGCAGGGCTGGGCCCCTTCTTCATGTCCTCGGCGTCACTGTAGCGACGGATCCAGTGGTTCAGCTCCTCGCGGTCGGCTTCCTGGCAGCGGCGAAGCACGGTGAGCGAGCGGCGGGTCTTCTCCACCATGTCCATGATGCAATTCAGCAGCTGCTGGGTGGAAGGCCACAACATAAGATCTGGGGTAGCCTGGGATGGGGGCACCCTCCATAGCCCTGGCCTGGTGGATCTGCCCAGGCACCATCAACCTCTACAGGCCGTGGTGGCCTACTTTACAGGGTTGCTGTGAGGACGGCGAGAACTAAAGCCGCATCCGCAGCATGCATTTAAACCACATTCACACCACTTTCACAGTCATGGCTCCACCCAAAGAACCCTGGAAACCATAGTTTCCTCACCCACAGAGCTACAGTTCCTAGCACCCATGAAAACTATAGTTCTCAGGATACCTTTTTTGGGCAGGGAAGCCATCTGCTTTGCATATAGGTTTGCATATGGGTCACATTCCCCTACCTCCTTTTCCAGATAGCTTTTTTTTTTTTTAAAAAATTACATTTTCCTTTTGAAAGATCACTTTGATCCTATTTTAAATATGGTGGCCAAGTCGAGTTGCTCCTGCTGTTTCCTCCTTGAAAGTTTATGTTAGGCTGCTGCCGTTTGTTCATTTGTGTGCTATTTTTATTGTCTATTACTGTCTTTTCGCCTGATCTGCTTTATATGTTGCATTTGCTAACAGTTTCTTTATTGCTTGTAGGAGGGCTTATTTCAGTATTTGTTCTGGGCCCCCCACCCAGAACAACACATATAAAAACATAATAAAACATCAAACATTAATAGTAACAATCCGATCCAATATAAAGTCATAATAAGAATTATGACAATATTGTTAATAATTTTAATAATAATAATATAATAAATATAATAATAAAAATAAATAATAATAATAAAAAAATAATAATATTTTTATTGTTGTTAGCCGCCCTGAGCCCAGCTTCGGCTGGGGAGGGCGGGATATAAATAAAATTTATTATTATTATTTATTATTATTATTATTAATAAACAATAATAATAAACTACTTTAAGACTCTGAAAAGCTGGTATCACTGGATCAAGTTCAGCAGTTTTGCTGAATTAATTAAACTGAATAGTTTTAATTGGATTTTGAATAAATGTGCAATTAATTGTAACTTTTTTGAATTTTACTGTGTTATTATCCTCCTTAGCAGGTCGTGGAAACTGCTATTCTGAATAATGCTTTTTATAGGGTGGAGTTGGGGGCCCCAGGGGTGTGTTTGTGAAACCAAGGGGATGGTGGCCTGAGAACGTCTGGGAACCGCTGCTCTAACCACTACACCCCTCCACTGTAGGCAGGTGTGTCTTCCCTGTCACCTGGTTTTCCATCCAGTGGATGGTATCCGGAAGAGCAAAGCTAACGGGTTCTTTTTGTCAATTGGCCAGCAAATCTTCCCCAAGGCACAGAGACATCCTGCCTGCCCGCCGCCCTGGCAAAAACTAGCAATGAAAAAGTCCAAAGTGCATAAGTGACTGGATGCTGGCCAATACCAAGGGAAGGGTCTTTATCTCTGTGGCCCCTGTGCCAATGCAGCATCCTTCTGGAGCACAGCTGTGTATCAACCACTTCCCTCCCCTAGGGGTTCAGCAGGCAAAACTGTTTTATTTGCTCAAGCTGTCCTAGGGATATAATTATGCTGCTTTATCACGTGGACGCTGCTCCGCTGTCGATTTCTGTCCAGTTAATTGTTTGGTGTGTTTCATCCCGGTGTTGTCCTAACCTGTTGCCAGCCTCCCTAGGGATTGTGTGATCGGAAAGCAAGGGCGTAGGTCTTGACAATCAATATGTTTATATACAAAGGTCTGCGCTACAGCTTCTGCCCCACACCCAGATTCCATCCCAGCCACCGCAAGTCATGCGGTGGGATTTGGTACATACATTGTTGAGGTGCTTCCACTCCTCGGCCCACTCTCTGTCCGTTAGCCTGTGGTCGATGACTTCCTCTTGCCGGGAACTGTGCACAGCTTAAGGGAGAAGAGGAAAATATCACCAGTCAGGAAGGTAGGTGGCACTGCAAACTTTTGGCATCAGGCCCTTGAGAGCAGTTGCAGAGGGGTGGGCCTGGCCACCCCACATGACACGCCCGCAACACACCCACACATATAGGGCACACACAGGTAGGGATGGGTCAATATGCCAATTCAGTTTTTCTCTGTTTCTCACTTTCACAGATCTAAGTTCAGCTCTCTGCACTTCAGTTTACAATATATTAAAGTTATCATCCTGTGACGTAAAAAGATTAAGAAAGTGAAGCTGCAGTAAGAAAACATTTTGTAACATAGTCCAAAACCGAGATGAAGGGAAGTCAATCATTGTTGTGTTGTTTAGTCTTTTACTTTGCAATGTGGTCTTCTCTTTTTTCTTTTTCTTTACCTGCTATGTTTTTGATGTGTTTTTCTTTTGATTTTGTTTATCATGTGTTTTCTTTTTGTTTGTTTATTGGTGCTTGATATTGTAAATTAATAAAAAGAAAAAAGTTATCATGAAAACTTACCAGCTCGCTTGTGTAAATTTATCCTAGTTCAGAATATACATTTCTGAATGCTGTTTTGCCTAATATACACATTTTTTTTTGCAAAGGAAAAGGTTATTTCCACTAATGTGTGCATTTATATGCAGACTTTACCCCAGCACATGCATTTTTGCACACGTTGCTCAGCTGGAGAACTGCACTGCAAAATTCAGCTACATTTTGGTCTGCATTCTGTTTTAGAAAGTGCAGATTGGGTAGACTTGCCTTTAAATGCAAACTGAATCAAATCCCCCCCCATCCTTATCCATGGGGACACAGCAGCTCCTGGGTCCAAGTACCCCATCTAGGCTCCTCCTCTTTTCTCAGGCACCCAGAGCCTTAAAAGCAGAGTCCTCTGGTTGGCACCTGGTATTTCGACCACTTCTTCAGGAGCAAGCATTGGGGAACATGAGGGTGTTAATCCCCAAAGGGGTTGTCTCCATCCTGTGATTGGCCGAGAGTACTGAAAGACCGGCCTCTGGCTCCCTCATTCTCTGCTCTGTGGTTCTTGAACTTGGATTAGAAATGCCGGCTAACTGCCCGCTCTGGCTATCAGCTCAAGACATAAGGCAGGGATGGGATGCTGAGGATTGAACCTGGGTCTTTTTAATGCAAAGCATGCTAATGTCCTTCCACTTACTAGACCTGCTTCCTCCAAGTCCTTCTGTGGGCTCAGCCTGGCTAGGAATGGATAGCGACACGTACCTTTAAGACCACATCGCTTCAAGGGACATGCATCTACAGTAAATTTGTCTCCTATCTCTTTCTGGCTGACACTCTGTGACAGATCCCCATGCCTCATCTAAGGATGGAGGAGAATTTCATTTGGTCAAGTTGTTAAGCAAACCAATTTGTACCTCCTGAACTAATGCACAGATCAGAACATCATTACCCTTCAGATTTCACACCCTTCCAAATGTTGCTATACAGTTCTCAGCTGAAAAACATCCCCAAATGCATTTTTTAAAAAAATAGTAATATGGATTTTATGGTAAAGTACATTCAGGAGTACATACATTGAGATGGATTCAAGATGACTTTAACAGAATAGAGAACTGGGTCAAAACTAACACAATGAATTTCAGCAGGGGCAAATGTAAGGTTCTACACTTTAGCAGGAATAGTTAGATGTGCAAATATAGGATGGGGGACACCTGGCTTGATAGCAGTGCATGTGAAAAGGATCTGGGGGATCTTAGTAGACCACAAACTTAACATGAGTCAACAGTGTGATGCAGCAGCAAAAAAAAGCTAACACTATTCTAGGCTGCATCAACAGAAGTAAAGTGTCCAGATCAAGGGAAGTAATAGTACCACTCTGTTTTGTCTTGGTCAGGCCCTCACAGTTTAAGAAGGATATTTAGAAACTGGAATGTGTGCAGAGGAGGGTGGCCAAGATGATGGGGTTTGGAAACAAAGTCTTAGGAACAGTCAAATGAGTTGACTGTTTAGCTTGGGGAAAAGAAGACTGAGAGATGATAGGATAGCCATCTTTGGCGATCACTCATAGCCAAGTAAGATTGTCTTCCATGAACATGGTCTTAACACTGAGTCCGTAAGTGACTGTGGAGGCCAATTCCGGATCCACACGTCCTTCCACAGTGGGGACATTGGTTTCTGGATGGGAGTTGATCATGGTGAGGGTTTGCCAAACAAGGCTTCCTCTTAACACGTATCTCCCTTTCGTCCTGAGTTCAAGTGTCTTCAAAGTCCATGACACCTTTGGTAAAGGCTGTTCCCCACTTGGAGCACTCACAGGGCATTGTTTCCCAGTTGTCAGTGTTTATACTACATTTTTAAAGATTTGCCTTGAGAGAGTCCTTAAACCTCTTTTGTTGACCACCAGCATTACGCTTTCCATTTTAAAGTTTGGAATAGAATAGTTGCTTTGGAAGATGACAATCAGGCATCCGAACAACATGACCAGTCCAATGAAGTTCAGGTTGAAGAATCATTGCTTCGACACTGGTGATCTTTGCTTCTTCCAGTACACTGGCATTAGTTCGCCTGTCTTCCCAAGTGATGTGTAAAATTGTTTGGAGACACCGTTGATGGAACCTTTCAAGGAGTTGGAGATGGCGTTTATAAGTGGTCCTTGTTTCACAAGCATACAGTAAGGCTGGTAGTACAATAGCTTTGTAAACAAGAATTTTGGTTTCCCTGTGAAAGTCTTGGTCCTCAAACAACACTCTGCACTTCGATGCTGGTTTTCGGCATCAATGTCAGCCCTTGTGGAAAGATAACTGCCCAGGTAGCAGAAGCAATCGACACTTTCCAACGTTACACCACTGAGTTGGATTTGTGGCGCTGCAGAGGGGTTGTTTTGTGCTTGTTGGTGCAGCGCTTTGGTTTTTTGGATGTCAAGCAATAGGCCAAGTTTTTCGTAAGCTTCAGCGAAGATATTTAGGATGGTTTGGAGGTCATCCTCTGAGTGTGCACACACTACATTGTCATCAGCATACTGAAGCTCTATGACAGAAGTTATGGTAACCTTACTCTTTGCTTTCAGCCTACTCAGATTAAAGAGCTTTCCATCTGTCCGATATATGATTTCTGCTCCGGTGGGGAGTTTCCCTTTGACAAAGTGTAGGATCATGGCGATGAAAATAACAAATAGAGTTAGGACGATAACACAACCCTGTTTAACACCTGATCCCACTGTGAATGGTTCACTTTGAGAGCCATTGTTATCTGCGATTGTTGCTGTCATATTACCATGGAGGAGCCGAAAGATGTCCACAAATTTATCTGGGCAGCCAATTTTAAAGAAGGACAGTCCACAGGGCATTAAGATTTACTGTGACAAAGGCCTTAGTCAGGTCAATAAACACCATGTACAGGGGTTGGTTTTGCTCTCTGCATTTTTCTTGAAGCTGTCGAGAGGTGAAAATCATGTCCACTGTCCCCTAGAAGGTCAAAAACCATTTTGGGATTCAGGAAGGGTAGCCTCAGATATTGTTAGGAGATGGTCTGCTAAGATCCTTGCAAGAATTTGGCCGGCTGCAGCTACTGAAGGGCTGTCTGAACCTTGTTTTCTGCTCCTACGGAGGGTAGGACCTGAACCAATGGATTCAAATTACAAAGAAAGGAGATTCCAACTAAACATTAGGAACAGCTTTCTGATGGTAAGAGCTGTTTGGCAGTGGAATGGACTACTTCGTAAAGGAGTGGACTCTCCTTCATTGGAGGTTTTTAAGCATTGTTTGTATGTCATGTAATGTCATTGAGATTCCTGCACTGCAGGGGTTGGACTAGATGACCCTTTGATCCCCATCCAACTCTACAATACTATGATTCTGTGAGTTAAAATAAGTTTGCAAATATGTTTTCTGTGGTAAAATTTAAAATTAAAAAAGATATTGGTAAAAAAATTTTTTTTGAACGGTTAATAATAATAACGGGACGCGGGTGGCGCTGTGGGTAAAAGCCTCAGCGCCTAGGACTTGCCGATCGAAAGGTCGGCGGTTCGAATCCCCGCTGCGGGGTGCGCTCCCGTCGTTCGGTCCCAGCGCCTGCCAACCTAGCAGTTCGAAAGCACCCCCGGGTGCAAGTAGATAGATAGGGACCGCTTACTAGCGGGAAGGTAAACGGCATTTCCGTGTGCAGCTCTGGCTTGCCAGAGCAGCGATGTCACGCTGGCCATGTGACCCGGAAGTGTCTGCGGACAGCGCTGGCCCCCGGCCTCTAGAGTGAGATGGGCGCACAACCCCAGAGTCTGTCAAGACTGGCCTGTACGGGCAGGGGTACCTTTACCTTTACCTTTAATAATGATAACAAACAGATAACTGTGAAAACTGGATGGGATGGGCACAGAACAGAAATAGGCAGCTCCTCCCATCCAGCCCCCATGCCACTTACCAGCTTGCCGGTGGCGTTCCCTCAGCTCCCGAGGGTCAGGGTGCCGGTAGGCGTCCCGGTAGTGGTGTGCTATGGCCATGTCCTCGAGGCGGTAGTGCTGGGGAGGGGGAGGCGTGGGGTGGGGCAGCCCATTGGGCTGGTGGCTGATCCCATTGCTGGGACTGTAGCGCTGGGCGGGGCTCATGGTGCATGGCCTTTTGGTGAGGTGTTCTGGGTGCAGAGGGTCACGGTCCAAGCCATTGTCTTTGGTCCTGTCCCGGAAAGAGGGTGGAGCGTCAAACGGCTTTTACAGAACCAAGCCAACCTTAACCAATAGTTCAGAATAGTAGCAGCAGGGACAGAACTAACAGTCAGTCCTCAAGAGCCAGGCCCACTTTTTGAAAGGAGCACAGTCCGGGTCTATGGATATAGCACCTTCCTTTGGAGCAAGAACAGCCAACCTGGTGCCCTGTGCTAATGTGGTTAGGGGACTACAACTCCCATTATCCACAGCCATTGACCAAGCTGCCTGGGGCTGATGGGAGTTGGAGTCCCACAATATCTGGAGAAAAGCATGCTGCCTTTTCTTGGCCCAGAGTCAAAGTTGAGGATGCTGTGGAACAAGACTCCCATTAGGTTGGGGAAAAAAAGGTGTCCCATCCTTGCTGTAATCTAGAGGGCACCAGATTGGCAAAGCCTGAGCCAAAGGCACAAAAGAGTGGTTTCCTGCATTTTGCATTTCTTGCTCCAAGCTGCCTTGGAGATCCTTTGATCGAAAGGCAGCCTGCAAAACATTCCCAATAAATAAGAATTTGTTGGGGCCAAGCCTCCACCCAGCCTAGCACACCAACTCTGGCCAATCCCACCCCCTGGCTTTTTACCCACGGAGGCCTGTACCTGTCTGGTGTCCTTCTTTTGCCCCCCTCGTTGACCTCCAAGAGCAGCTCTGAGGAGTCGATGGGGGAGGAGGCGTTGGCGTCCAGGAGAAGCTGCTCGTGCTGCGCCAGGTATTGTGCAGGCGTCTGCTTGGCCATGCGGGCGCAGTGGAGGAGCTCGCGCTGCAGCAAAGGCAAGTTGGCCTGGAAAGAGGGCAGAAGGTGGAGAAGGTGAGGAGCACTCTCCTTAAGAAGGAAAAAGAACAACAGGCTGTGGTTTCGGTATAAGCAACTATAGCCTGGCCTGGATACTGAACGACAGGGGTTGGCATTTTTTTCAGCAGGGGGCCAGTCCACCTTCTCTGTCATGAATTTGTCCAGTCCTCTTTTAAAGTGGGAGGTCATCAATGTCTCCCGGAGGAATGAGCTCCACAGTTTTAACCATGCCCTGCGTGAATAAATACTTTCTTTCACCTATCCAGAATTCTCTAACATTCAGCTTCATTCAATGTCCACTAGAGAGAGAGAGAGAGAGAGAGAGAGAGAAACTTTCTCTATTCACTTTCTCCATGCATCACTTCTACCGTGTCACTTCTTACGTGCCTTTTCCCTAAACTTAAACGTTCCAGAATCTGAAGGCTTTCTTCAGAGTAGCTCCAACCCCTGGATCATTTGGGTTTCCCTCTTCTGAACCCTTTGCAACATGGCAGTATCTTTTTTTTTAGATGAAGCAGCCAGAACCGTACACAGCATTCCAAATGCGGTCATGCCACAGATTTGCATAATGTCGTTACGATATCAGCAGTTTTATTTCCGGTTCCTTTCCTGATCATCCCATAAACGGGGAGCCACCGCTGAAAAGGCCCTTTCCCCTTGCAGTCCTCCTCTGAGCCTCCCTCAAAGAAGGGACTCGTACTGGAAGTGAGATTAGGAAGGGGCAGAGCTGTGTCCGTTGCCTGGGGACTGCGGAGTTCACTAGAGCGGGGGCTGCTCTCATTGCTCCATTCAGAAAACAATGCCCCCTAGGCAGCCTCAGCGTCTATCAATGAGACTGTGCTGGCTCTGCTCCAGAGAAGCCTGCGAGGGTCCCATGGCCCTACGAGGTCGTTCCCATCTCTCCTTTGCACAACAGAAAGTGTTTGTAAATAAGCTTTCTCCCCTTTGCTCCTTTGACTCCTCACCCCACCCAGCGAGTTTCTCACGAAGCTCCAGCCCTCCAAGAAGAGCATCCGCAGGAGCAGGAGCAATTAAGCAAGCCCAGAGCAGAGCTTTGTGCCGTCAGCCAACCCTGGTTTCCTATTTAGGCAGCTGATCACCAGCCAAATCCCCATCTGTTGGACATGTTAGAGCGAGGACTGATGAAATCCACTGCTGTGGATTCCAGGGCAGCAAACATTCCCCCCCCTCCGCTCTGCCGCCACCCCCCTCTTCGTTCTTCCTCCATCTCCCTCCTTCCCTCTCTCCCCTGCCCTCTCCATCCCCCCCACCCCAGTCACCATCACATTTCACGAAAGAAAAACAATGAAAAGAAATAAATAACATCTCTGGGAAAGGCGCGCCGGAGGCCGCCTGGTTGCAGTTAGGGTAATGAGAAGCATCTGGAGCCCTGGGTGGAAACAGCTGGAAGCAGGGTGGGTGCTGGAGAGAGGAGCAGGAGGGGAAGAGATGGGGGAGAGGGCTGTCAAAGGGCTCCTTTCTCATTCAAAACACTGAGTCTCTCTCCTCTCTCTGTCTCTCTGCTGGCAGAAAGGCGCCAGGCTTGTGGTCTGCCCCCCAAAAACTCTGCCAGGAAGAGACAAAGTGGTGGTGGTTATGGGGTAGGGGTGGGGGTGGGATAACAGACCAGTTTTCCCAGGAGTTGCTCAGCATTAGAGCCAAACTAGACATGGTGTTTGATGCAAGGAATGACTTTGCGCTGTTTGGCCTTTTTGCTAAGGAAAAGAAAATACACTACAAACCCTCTTTCTCCCCCCCCCACCTGAATTGGGACGTTAGTCTGGGGTTAGCGGGCTTTAAATATTTGCCCTTGCCACAGCCCCAATGAGAATTGCATTGTCTCTCCTCCCTGGCTTGCTATTTGCAAGTGGATGAAAGCTTCCATTGGTGGGAAATGGATTTTCAACGGATTAGAGTGTGGGCTGGGTGGGCTGCCATGGTCCCAGTCTGTCTCAGGCCTCTTTGCATTGGTGGTTTTTTAAAAAAACAAAACCACCCAAAAAACATTACATGCAGGGCCACATCAAGTGACAAATGCCCATGCTTTGGATGCAAAAAGGTTTCAGATTCAGTCTCCGAGTGTGCCTGGGAATGACTTCTCTGCCCCTGAAGCCCTGAAGAGCTGCTGGCCATCAGTTTTGGCAACACACAGCTAGATGGCCCAATGACCGGACAGGGCTTAAGCCAGCTTCCTATGCTCTTAATGGTGCAGCTGATAAATTGCTGAGCATGTACAACAGTAGAAAAAACATAGCAAAGGCATCCCCCTAAAGGTCATGTGCAGAGTGTCCTTCTTCTTCCCCCCAGGGATCGAAAACCTGCCTGGAAGCCATTCCATCCTCATTCTAGACATACAGTGCCTCTCTGTGGTTAATCGCATATCCTCCAGCTTCCCGCTGATCAAAATCGGGACACTTGTTTTTTGGTCCCAAGCTCACGTGGGAGCCAGGTGACTTTCGTGAGAGTGAAAAATGAGCTTCTTTTGGTCTGGCACTCTGCTTGCACCAAAGCGTTGGACCAAAAAACGGGACATTCCAGGATCTAACCAGAAGTCAGGATGTCTTCTGTAATTCCAGGATGCTCCACTTAAAATGGGATAGTTGAAGAGCATGTAATTGGTGATGAGGAAAATGCACTCTGCACATGCTCAGAGGCAGGACTAAACTCTAGCAAGTTCCAGTTTGCCTACATCTGAAGGAGTTTGGGTTTCTGCTTAGGGCCAAATGGCACCTTATAGCAAGCATGCAGCTAGCTATTGCATGCTTGTTTTCCTGTCTTAAATAATAGCCTTGAGGGAGGCAAGGCAGGGAAGAGATGATGAGGACTGGGGCCCTAAGGCAGGTAAAGGATGTCATTCCCTTGCTTTCCCGCTCGGCGGTCCCGATCCTGATCAGCCCCCTCCAACTGCTGTTCAGCAAAGACTGCACATCGCTACTTACAGGCTTAACGTAACATGTGGTTTGACCCTGGGTCAGCATTTCTGGATGGGCTACGTGGGTCAGCAGGAAACCTTCTCTGCTCAGGAAATATTTTTTTGCTGCTTCTCTAGAGCCATGGAAATCACAGCCCCATATAAGTGGGAGGGTGGGGGGTGGGGAAGAGGCAAAAGGCAAGTCTTCTGTCTTTCATGCCTCTCTGATAAACAAGGGCAGCTGAGAGCAGCCTTTGCAACTTCTGCTAGAGAGATCCCGTCTTGCTTGCTTCTACAGAAATGCCAGGGCTCAACAGATCCTCAGATTGCAGGATGGGCCTGGCACTAAGCAAGAGAGAGACACGGGAAGACGCTGATCAAAGCTCAGAGACAATCGCTTGATATATTCTCTCTGTCCTGGCCATTGCAAAGAGGATTTGTTTTCTGAAAACAGCAGACCTTGCTATGCAGCAGAAGTCAGTGTGGTGGGAGTGAGAAGGAAAGGAATGAAGGGTTGGGGGGGGGGTGTCACGGCCAGCCCTGACATTAGACAGTGAGGCAGATCTTACCTTTGAGATGACACATCCTGAACATTTTTAATTGTGTAATCAGCTCCAAAGCTTGTGGTAAGCCTCCCTCGGGAGCTGCTGCCAGTCTCCATAGGAGAAAACAGCCTACCCATCCGATCCCTCTCATAGAAAGAGTCATAGCTCAGTGGGAGACCTCCATAGTTCCAGTTACAGATAGGTAGCCGTGTTGGTCTGCCATAGTCAAAACAAAAAAAATCCTTCCAGTAGCACCTTAAAGACCAACTAAGTTAGTTCTTGGTATGAGCTTTCGTGTGCATGCACACTTCTTCAGATACACTTCTTCAGGTATCTGAAGAAGTGTGCATGCACACGAAAGCTCATACCAAGAACTAACTTAGTTGGTCTTTAAGGTGCTACTGGAAGGATTTTTTTGTTTTTTCTCAGTGGGAGAGAAGGTCTCAGGTAGGGCTGGGAGTTTCCCCTGCCTGAAGCCCTGGAGAGCTGCTGCCAGACAGTTTAGGTAATGCTGAGCTAGAACAAGGGTCTGACTCAGTAGAAGGTAGATTCCTCTAGTCCCATTTTAACCAGTCCTTTCTTGAGAACCATGAGGACTGGAATCTTATTATTCTGTTTGAGGGAAGGGCAGAACATCTGCTTTATATGCTGGTCTAGACAGTACATAACCAGAAGGGGCACTGAACTGGCTCAGTGTAAGATAGCTTCCAATGCTCCAGGACATGTCTTGACCAGTCCAGGAAGTAGAGAACCAACCAAGCTTTATGTGTCGATGATGGTTCCTGGAAACCATCAACTTCTTCCAAAGGGAAGGACCTGCCAGGACCTGACACAATGGTGTCTAGGTGCCTCTGAGAGAGAGAACAAGTTGGCCCAAGCATTCTATGATCCAACTTGCATTCAGCTGTGTGAAAAGGTGTCTATGCAACAAAGAACCTTCCCAAAATTATGAAGCTGGTATAAGTTCAAGTCGTGCAAGACAGAAGTCTTATAAAGGGTCTACCTTCAAGAATGGGATGACGAAAGGACGCAGAGGGAAGTTTGTGGCCTCCTGGAGCTTGGAGTGGAATTCCTCAATGGTCAGCGTGGAATTCTGCAAAGTAGAAACAGCACGGGGTCAACGATACTGAGGACTGTGGATTCATGTCCAGCAAATTCTCTTCACTGGTCTGGCTCGTACCTTACTTTAAACCACCGCAGCACCCTGGTGGAATGGAAGTGTGGCAATTTTCTCTCCATGCACCAGCATGCTTGCTCTTAAACCATAGTTAAGCTGAACTTAACTTTGGAGATGGGGCCATGGCTCTCTGGTGGAACATCTGTTTTGCATGCAGAAGGTTCCAAATTCAAACCCCGGCATCTCCAGGTAGGGCTAGGAGAGACTCTTATCTGAAATCCTAGAGAGCAACTTCCAGTCAGTGCAGACAACACTGAATTAGATAGACCAGTAAAAGGCTGCTTCCTGTGTCTCCTAAATGTGATTTAAATGGATGCTGTCAATCTTATTGGGGTTCTTTAATCATGTGCTGCCCCACGCCCCCACCCCCGGTTTTTATCAGAACCGCATTGCATAGGGAGTTTTTACTGTGTATTCATGTAAACTGATGCCCCTGCCATGCTGCAATTAGTGATATGGGGGAAAGCCCCCATGGTGCCAATGGGGGCTTATTACCTGTCACTAATTGCAGAACTGAGGGGGTGATTTGGGCAGAAATCATGGCTGGGGAGGAAAAGGGGGAAACTCATCTCCTCCTTATAAGGTGAGGGCCCATTAAAAAAAATCCCTTGGTTGATTGTTAAGGAAACATATACAAGCAATTGGAAGTCACGCATTCAGTCATGCCTCATTAGGCCCTCTGTGTTCGTACATCCTTACACATCTCTGCCAATGACATTCCCTCTTCCACTGTCCCCCACATCACCCAGAGGTCTCCTGCTCTCCCTTCAAATGACTCCACCCTTTCCCTCTTGTTTAGCCCAGCATGGATATCAGCACAAATCACAGGCTTACGTTTGCAGCTCAGGGTGTTGCTAAAGGCACAAGAGCCACTAAGAAACTGGCAACACCCCTGCCAAAATATGGATATGGTTTGCTTGCCTTGCTGACAATTTGACAGGGGCAAGGGCACTTAATTTTTTTTTTTGTATTGGATGACATAACCCTGTCCAGCTAAGCAAAGAAATTACCGCTAAGTAATATCAAGCTGAGCAAAGTATTACAACATTGCATGACCATAACTTTCAGAGTATGAATCTGTTGCAGCGCAAATGACAAAGAATCTTGGGGGTTAGCATGCATCTGGTGAAAGGGACCCCAGATTACGCTCTAATAATTGGTATCTGAGGCAGTGGTGGGGAACACTTTTTAGCCCAAGGGCCAGATTTCCTCACATGCAATCTTTCGGAGACCACATGCCAGTGGAGCCAAAGGCAGGTGTAGGTGGAGCGACAGATGTGACCTTCGTGTGGTCAGTCAGAGGTTTGTGGATAATCCACACCCCACACTCCTCCCATCCATGTAAACAAGATCCCAGTTCAGGGACACATTCCAGCCAGTCAAAGCACTCAAACAGGCTGCAGAACAGGACCATTGTGGGGTATGCCCTAAGAAGAGTCCCCTGAAGGGCCAGATTTTCCCCCTTGCCCTGACGTTTCCCAGCCCTGCTTTAAGGTGCCCCAAATCTCCACAGTGCACCTATAGCAGGTGTAATGAGCAGAGTAACGGCATTGCAGTTTAACAGCACCCACTGCTGCCTTCTTTGCAAAATGTATTTCAACCAGCTGCAATGGCTACCAGGTCCCCCCACCAGCCAAGGATCTCTGACTGAAGACAGGGATCTCGCCGCCAAGGGCAGAGCGCGCAGGCCGCGAGCTTACCACGAGGCCCAGCACCAGGGCACGAACACGCTCCCCGATCTCCGGCGAGATGTCGTTGCCGAACTGCTGCAGCGTGGTCAGGAAGCGCTTCAGTTTGCTCAGCTGGCGTGCCCCGCAGGCCGGAGGGAGTTGGTGGTTGGACAGCGAGGCCGTGGAGGAAGTCGCAGGCCCATTGCTGAAACCATTGGGGGTGGAGGGCGCACCGTTAATCGCCGTCGGGGAGTGGCTGCTTCCATTCATTACTGCAAGGAAAAAAGGGAGAAAGTGGTAACAAGAGGGGGTCTGCTATTGCAATCTTGCATATAGCATGGCACTGTGGGATAAGGGGGAAATCATAGTGGATCCCAGAGGCACTATGTTAGTCAACAATGGGACACAGTTGCAAAAATGGCTATGTCCCTTTGGGGAGAGGTTTTGCAGGAGGATCACAGGCAAGGAGAAGGCTATGTCTTTTAGGACCAACAAACCCCATGAGCTTTTCAGGTGGAGGCGAAATATAGATGCTAAACCAGTTGGAAAAAAAGACCAAGCAAGATTGGCAGATGTGCATCCCCAGAAAAAGGAATAAGATCAGTGGAGTTAACCCTGGCTGGTTCGGAGTAGGGGTTGGCTTTTTACCTGAAGGGGTTTTCTGTGCATGAAAGCTAGGTCATTTGAAAGAGGCATACTTTTAAATCATTTTGCAGATGCAAACAAGCAGTATTTTTTCCTCCTCCCTGAAAGAGAGAGCGACCCTAAAGACACTCTTCTCAAATGGGTTTCTCTGAGCTCCACAAGACCCCAGCTGCTTCCCTTAGTCAGTGAGGGTGGAACAAGAGGAATGAAACAGTCTTATCCAGCTGGAGGGAATGCACAGGGTTAAATCCTGCTCAGAACTGTCAGGCTGCAGAAAGATGTCCCAAAGGCAGATTATTGACCACTGTCTGGTCCTCTGCAATGTTACTAAAGTGAACGGGGACTTGTGCAGGAGACATTTTCTGGTGGATTGGGACCCGGCTGCCTAACACAAGAGAAGCAACAGTGCTTTAAGAGTCAAGGCAGAAACTGTAATATCCTGATGCTGAGATTCTAAAAAGCAAACACACCCCATTTACTTGGGAGCATGCCCTATTCTTGGGACGATGTGCTTCCAAGAAAAAGAGTGTTTTTCCAAAGAAGCATGTCCCTCCAGCTAAGTGTGGATAGGATTGTGCCATAAATATCCTAGAATCATATTTGAAGGCTAATTGTCTTCCTGACGAGCCCTACTGCTTCCAAGACTTTTCCACACAAGATGTTACACACACCCCCAACGCCCAGCTGACCTCCCCACCCTGAAGCAGTAAACAAGAGCTGAAAAGCCGGCCTACAACAACAAATCTTACTGCGCTGAACAGAGGCAACATATTCCCAGACTGCAAAAACTGCCTTCCAGCCCTGTGCTTTTACACGTGTTCTTAGGCCAGAGACTAATGACAGATTTTGAAGCGGTATGAAAGAGATGTTGTGGTTCTCTCTCTCTCTCTCTCTCTCTCTCTCTCTCTCTCTCTCTCTCACTCTCTCTCTCTCTCTCTCTCTCTCTCTCAACTTTTGATCCTCTCAAGTCAAACAGGTGTTGCAGGTTTTTTTTAAAAAAACACCACAGGAGCTCCCCTGCAAAGCCTGTTTATCAGAGGTCAGAACCTAACTTGTTTGCCCACCCCCTTGCAAGCAGCCATCCCTCCTCCCCAAGGACCCTCAGAAAATGTAGAAGCGCCTGTCTCTCCGCAGTCAGGGCTGAGAAAGAGCAGGCAACAATGTGCCCCAGGCAGACACTGTCCCCTGCCTTGGAGGGAGAGCCTCAAATCCCAGCATCCTTCTTGGGAACAAAAAGAGATCCTGAGCAGTCCTCGGAAGGTGCCAAGTTTGCCTTGCCTAGTTTCAGTCGTCACTAATCACTAACCTTTCCCGCTGTGGCACTGACACCTCCTTGGGAAGCCGCAGCCGTCGGGGCTTTTGCCGTGTGTTCCTGGGCTCCTGCTCAGTCTCCGGCAGGGCGAGAACCGCCGCTTGCTAAAGAGGTGCCGAAAATAACCGCTCGGCCACAACTGCTTTTATTCGAGTGACAGGTGTGTTACTAAGTTAAACTCTGCATATGTCTCTGACGCTTTAGGGATGGGGGCTGCGTTTGTGGGTCCTCCTCGGCGGAGAGCTGCGTTTGTGGGTCCTCCTCAACTAAAAGAGGGAAAGGATATTTGGAAAAAGTGGGGCACGTCAGCCATCAAGCTACCGAACTGCCCTAATTGCACTGGGGAAATAATGGAAGGTGTCCTTAGGCTGCACCTGTGCTCAAGCTGCTCTGAGGTCGAAGAGGGCCTGTGTGCTGTTGCCTCTTTGCAGAAGTGAAGGCATATGTGTCAGCTTGCAAGTTTGACAGGCGGTTGGGGAAGGGAGGCAGGGTTCAGGCGCTTCTCTCCTATGAAACTTTTTTTATTCACAAATTATGCAAATTTAAAAATGCAAAGTTCATTTAATACTTTTGTATCCTTTGTTCAGGTCGTGGTTCTCCAGTGTAGCTCCCAAAATATATTTGCATAGACAAGATTATATGCATAGATGCAAATTTAGGACTGTACCAATGGGAATGCAATAAATCTCACCGCAGTGGGGGAAACTGGCCAATGAAGTTTCCTTCCTTCCTTAGTGCTCTATTACACACACACACACACACACACACACACACACACACACACACCTTCTGTATTATTTTCACAGAGATCACCAGCAGTGCTACAGACCCAGCTATTATTCTGCAATAGTATGCACGGGAAGTAGAATGGAACACCTTGATGACTGTTCTAATTGAAGTCACAGAATGGGCCATGTGCTACAGCCACGACTCTGTGTATGTAAGAAAAACTTGTAATTGGACACTGTTCTTTTGAAGTGTTAATTTGAACCAAGACCTATTATCCCTAGTCCATATTATATACAGTGGTACCTCTGGTTATGAACTTAATTTGTTCCGGACGTCCATTCTTAACCTGAAACCATTCCTAACCTGAGGTACCACTTTAGCGAATGGGGCCTCCTGCTGCCACCGCCGCACAATTTCTGTTCTCATCCTGAGGTAAAGTTCTTAACCCGAGGTACTACTTCCGGGTTAGCGGCGTCTTTAACCCAAAGTGTTTGTAACCCGAGGTACCACTGTATTGCACATGCAGTGGTTAATCCCCTTGACACCAATTGACTGAGCTGGTGTGATGACGGCACAGAAGTTTGCAAACATTCTGACTGGCCCAGGCAAGCAAAGGCTATCAGAATGCTTGCGGTCCAATTTACCTGAGGAAAAGGTACATTGTCATTTTGACTGGGCTTAAAATTCCACACAGGTCTTAGGGGCAGGCACATCTTTGTGGGGTGGGATAAGAAGTGGGAAAAGATCCTAGACTGATGGAAAGATTAGGGGCAGAGGGCCCAGAGGCAAAGTACTTGAAGAATGTGGAGCAAAGTAGGCAACTGACTTTCTGAGTGGAATATTACTGAAGTAAATAGAGAATAAGAGAAAGGAGCTGAATTTTATTTATTGATTTGGACTAACTAGTCCATTCTGTGGTTGAAGGCCTCTAGCAGGCAGTAACAATAGCACAAGCAGGTGCCTCAGAGCATGATAAAAGTTTCCTCACTTTCTTCACTGACCAACCACTATACCTGAAGCATTGGGAGGTGGTGCCTCCAGGACAGAAGGTGCAGCTTTCTTGGTGTCTGTCTTTACAAAGATTCTTTACAAATGATTTGCCATTGTTCATTTGAAGATGCCAACTGACTAAATGTACGCAAATTTAAAATGGCCTACCACCTAACACTGAGGCACCCAAAGGACCTTACAAAGAGGTAGGAAGAAGAAGAACATTTCCTGTGATGCTGGCCAAATGGGAACCCTCTGAGAGTGAAATGGGGGGTTTGCCAACCTATGGGGCAGCACCCTATAGACAACACTGCCTGCACCAACTCCAGTAAAAGTGCATTTGCTCCCCTCCTGTATTTACCTAGGGGAGAGGTGAGCAACCTCAGATCTGAGGGACAAATGTGGCCCTCCAGACCTCTGTGTCTGGCTCTTGGGACTTTCCCCCCAGGCCGCACCCTCCCTAGCCACACCCTCTCTGGTCTTGCTTCAAACCCTTATTGAGCTCCCCCCCCCCGGCTGGAATGTGTCCTTGAACTTTGATCAGGCCTCCTGCTTGCCCAGATAGCAGATCATGTGAGTATGTGTTGAAATTTGCCTACTGTACAAAGGTAAAATCAACATGCATTGCTCCACCCACTTTCATCCACCACAGGCATGCGGCCCCTGGGAGGTTCCCCTGAAGAGAATGTGGCCCTCGGGTTTCCCCCGCCCCTGCTCTAGGGGAAGCAAAGCTGAGCTACAGCTTCTGCGGTCTCTTGCTGACGGGCACGTTTCATCTTACTTACAGAGACACACCATGGACCATTTCAAGCAACCATGAAAACGGCCGCGGGGCAGAAACATCGGCGGCCCAGCTTCACGATCTGCAAGCAAAATAAAACATACGCTATCAGGAGAGACCAGAGGTGGCAGGGCGCTTCCTTCTTGAAGTCCCTGATCAGGGCTGGGGCAGGAGCTAGGCAGGGCCTTAAGCTTATCCATCTTGGCTGGGAGATTTCCTTCCAGCGTGTGAGTTTAGTTGCAGGGGCAAAACTCTTAACCAATACTGTCCCTTCTGCCTGAGGGTGTCCTGGAAAGATATGGGTTGGTCATGCAATGCCCAAACAAAGACTAAGGTTGTGCCAAGAGGCTTGCGCTAAACCAGCTTCATAAACTGCAATGCAGATTGAAGGAAGCCACTCCCAGCTTCCTAGATTGCCAAATTAGTGTGGCTTACCTGCCCGTATTACAGACCCTCCCTATTTTCCTGGGACAGTCCCAAATTCAAAGAAGCTGTCCTGGTTTCTGATTTGATCCCAGAATGTCCTGCTTTTCCTTAGGATGTACCTATTTTCATTGGAGAAATGTTGGGTGGTATGATATTATCTCAACTGAAGGAGCCGGGGGCTGACAACTCACTGTCTTGATGACATTTGAGACTCACAAATGGTTGCTCTTTGGCCTGCTGATTAGGGGTGTTGCTGCCAGATACTCAAAAGGATTGGGGGCCCAAATTTGCACAGGTGCCTAGAGTGCCTGTGGGCAGGTGGAGAGGGTGGGTGGCATCTCCTTTAGGCCTCTGTATCTGGCCTGAAGAACTCTCCCCAGACTATACACCTCACTGACATTGCTTCGCACCCTGGGAATATATTTTTTCCAGCTAGGAATGTGTCCTTGAACTCTGATAATGCTTTTTGCTCATCCGAATGGAGGCTAGAGAGGGATGCACAAGTAGAAAATTGCCTACCGTAGGGTGCTAATATTTGCATTTGTTGCTCCACCCACTTTTGCCTCTGGCCCCGCCCACCACTGGCATACAGCCCTTGAGGTTGTCAGGAAAGGAATGAGTCCTTCAGACTGAGATAGGTTCCCACCCTTGATCTATAGCTATGCATGCCATAAAGCGAGCTCCATGCTGAAATGGGACCTGTTCTAGAAAGGACAACCATGTGGATGTGTTTGTTGGTTTTCTAGATAAGAAATCTGCCTGGCAACAACCCACTTTCCAGGTTAATGGACTTTGTGCTGAAGCCCTGGTGAACAGCTCTCCAACAGCTGTATTGTTTTGCTTTGTTTTTATTAATTAAGTGCATGTATCGGTCGCTTTGTAGAAGAGTTTCAAAGCGATTTAGCCAGATAAAATACAACAAATAGAAGCAATTTAAAACCAGAAAAGATTTATAACAACGAACAATGCAAAATGCATACGGTGCTGATCACAAGATAGTGACGTGATCGTCAGTATTAACAAACACTTGGAAAGTATAGAATAGCCTTTCCTGATCTGGTATGCTCTAGCTGTTTGGGACTACAGCTCCCATCAGCCTCAGCCAGCAAAGCTGGGGTTGATGGGAGATGTGGTCTAAAACAGCAGAAGGGTACCAGGTTGGCGGATACTGTATAGATTCAAAAACATACAACAGAAATTAAGAGAAGGAAGGGGCGTGGGAATGTAGAGCACCTCTGATTTCAACCAATGTGGCAAAGAAAATCTACAGAGGGTGCGTGGTATCCTCCCCACCCCCACCCCTCGCTTCCTCATGCAACAAGCCTGGCTCACTATGACATAAGAACAAAGGAGAAGGACTGGCTTGATCAGAAAGGGTCAGATGGATTAAGGGAACTTGGGCTACAGAACTGACAAGCATGTCCGGTTCAGAACCAATTCAAGATGTAAGAACGTAAGAAGAGCCTGCTGGATCAGGCCCACTAGTGGCCCATCTGGTCCAGCATCCTGTTCTCACTGTGTCTAGTCAGATGTTGCCGGCAAGCCTCCAAGCCGGTCCTGAGCACAGCAGCCCGCTCCCCTGCTGCAGTTTCCAGCAGAAGGGGAGGTAGGACATCATTAGTAACCATTGCAACTTGCTTGTTGACATCAGAGCTGGAATAACAGGTCCGAGGTTCCCATGCCCTATGGTGTAATGGTAACTCTGTAAACAAGCCTTCCTTTATGTAACTGAAACAACCATATATGGCTCCCCTTTTTGTCCCTGCCTCTCCTTCCTTCAAATTCACTGGTGTCAAATTTCTTCACTGTATGCTCCTTGGGCAGGGACCTGCCTCCTTGTACACTGATTTCTCCATCCCTGGCTTACAAAATATCTTTAGTGAGCTTATAAGGGCTGGAAAGATAACTCTGGCATCTAGCTTTCCTTGGGAAGATTCCCATAATAAAAAGGATCTGCGGAGAGAGGAACCAAGCAGTTCATAGACTCCAAGTCCTCCTTTGCACATCCATGTGCTCTCAGCAGCCACCATCTGGCTGGGAAATCCGCCCCTGGCGTCTTGCTCCTTGGCTGTGGGATCCTGAGATGGGCCAAGTCTCTGCCATAGCTCTCGGGTGGCAAAGCATCAGGCTAGGTGGTTATTAAAGCCGCCCAGTTTAGGCTGAACATCTTAGCAGAGCTCTTAGTAAGGGCACAACACCAGCTGTTTGCTAATATCCACTCGAATTAAGTGCAAAAGTCACAGCTTCCAATCCTTCTCTCTTCCCTAACCTCTAAGCGCTTTAAATGCATACACAGCATCACTGTGGGGTGGTGGCGGGACGGGGACTGGGGGGGGGGAGGAAAGGCTAGTCCTCCCAGGGTCAGCTATTGCAAGAAGGGTTTTTGTTTTTGAGAGGGGGGAGGGGAGAGCAGCAGCAGACCCTTTTCAGAAAACACAGCAGACTGGCTCAAAAGCGCCTTTGCATCTGCTACCGAGAGCGATTAAAAGCAAACCCCATCAGATCACAGACGAGCAGAATCCGATTTCTAATTAGAGAACATCTGGCTCCAAAAAAAAAAAAAAAAGGCTGGAGCTGACTTGGAACTGCCACTCGGAATCGGGAGGCAGGGGACACAGAGAGAGAGACTATCCCCCCGCCCCGCAAGGTGCAGTACAAAAAAAAGGCATTTCTTTTCAGAAGGGAGGAGACTTTGCAGCTCAATGTGGAAGGTGAGGGGGGTGGGCATGTGTTGCTCTTTCTGATTGTGAGCAAGAAGAAGTTAATTTTGACCCGGGCTGCATGGCTTCCTTGCAGCTGAAGGGCAAAGGAATCTGGGGGAGCAGCCTATTATAGTCACAACTATTTCAGGGCTTTCGGCATCAGTGTGCTGCGCCTGCGGATATAGCCGCCCATCTGCCATTGGATCTTTTATCTGTGGATGGAGGAAAGGCTCCCATCTGTGAAGGGAGTGGGGGGCGCAGACTCCCTTCCTGCTGCTTAGGCTGCACTTGTGGCACTCCGAGCGTTTCGCGGCCCAATGCAAACTGTGCATTATGCACTGGCGGGCAACTGGACAGGGCGATTCTCTGCCTTGCAAATGGGGGTGACCCTCAGGCAAGAGGAATGCATTTTTGCTGCCCGAGGCAAAGGAGGAGATGGTGTCACACACACACACACACACAACACACACACACACCCCTGCACATACACAGGCTGCCTGGGCTGGCCACTGAATCCTCCTTCAGCCCTGGCAATTTGAAGGCAGCAAACTAGCTTTTGGGGTGCAGGCAGGGCCAAACTGAGACAGCCGTGGAATCACAAGAGGTGAGCCCCCTCAGGTGCCCCAACCTCTCCTGTTGCCAGAGAACTGAGGAGAACTGAGAAGCAAGGAGACATGGTTGTGACTTCTGGGTTCTGGCGAGTTCTAGCAGAACTCCCCCAGAATCTTGCAAGAACCAGAAGCTGCAGTTGCATGACCCTGGTAAGCAAGGATTTAGCAAGCGCAGTGTGTGTGTGTGTGGGGGGGGGAAATAGTGGGCAGCCGTGTGGGTGGCACTTTCTTGTTTCACCTCAGGAGCCGTGTTCGAAACTCCCATTGTTCTAGGCGCATTTTGCGACAGGGAATTTCATTAGTGCGAGCAGTTTCTGAGCTCTGGGCGCAGTACTGCACCTAAGATTTCAGATTAAAACAGCAGAGTGGAAGGAAAGGAGGAGCTTTTTCTGCCCTCCCCCTCCAGCTACTCTCTGAAGACTAGAGAAGAGACCCTCTTAAGAATATTAGGGGGGTGGGCAAGGAAAGACTGGACACTGAACATAATATTTTAGCTGCAGTTCATTCATTTTCAGCTTTGTATTCTTGTTATAAAAAAGTGCACCTAGTCATTCCGTTGTTGCACCGATAACCTAGGTTTAAGGCACCATTTAGCTCCTAGCTTTCATATCTTGGTTTCTAACACTGCTCAGGAGGCAAACCAGAATGGGTCATTCCTGGGTGCAGGTTAGGTGACACAGTTCTGTCCTCTTATCAGAAGGAAACGGCCTCGGAGGCTGCTACTGCTGCCTTACCAGCACCTGCTGCCTGAGTTAGTTACCCTGCCTAATGGTAGGGCAGGCCTTTGATGAGTGGTGGAAATCCCATAGGGGGGTTTAACATGGCTACAGCTAAGCCATGCAATGCTCAACTTTACTGCTCTGCAGCCTTGTTTAAACAGGGTTTGGAATCTAGTTTCAACACCAGGGCTCTGGTGAAACAATCTTCCCTCTGAGCATGTGCAGAGTAGTTTGCTCTGCTTGCAGAATATCCACACAGTGAAACATAGAAAGCTGCCTTATATTGAATCAGACCATTGGTATGTTGAGCTGAGCATTGTCTACACTGACAGGGAGGGCCCCTGTAGGGTGTCAGGCAGGGACTCGTTCCCAGTCCTACCTGGAGATGATAGTGGAGATTGCACCTAGGACCTTCAACATGCAAAGCAGATGCTCTCCCACTGAGATCTGCACTACCTTACATTGGAGCTCAGAGGTCTGGATTCTAGCAAGACCTGGGCCCCTGGCACCCATCCTTTTTGAAAATAATCCTGAGTGCTGCTGTTGCCTTTGCTGTCTGCTTGGGGTTCAACTGCCCTCTCCCTTTTTGCTTCCTTATGCACCTTCTGGCTGCGAATCGCAGCATCGCTCATGAACAGCAGGAGCGGAGACGGCTGGCATCCGCATCAACAGGGAAGGGGGAGGGCTGCTTTCCTGGCACTCCAAATGTGGTGCCATCTGGCACTGCCATTCGCTTGAAAGGCGATGCATCAAGAGGCGAGAAGTGGCGAGGGTGGAGGTGGACAGCATCCAAGCCCACCCACCCGCCCCGGCATCCGAAGCAGCTCCGGGTCCTGATGACAACCGGAACCTCCACGCCAGAGGAAAAGAGCTTGGGGATAAAGCGGGGAAATGGGTCTGGCTAGATTCCGTTTCTGCAAAGTCCTCTAAAGTGCAAAGTCCTCTGCTTGGGTCGGGTTTTTGTTTTTTTGTTTTGCCTCTCGGAAAGGCTAATGAACAGCCACAGCTCACAGTTCCTGCTGTACAGGTCATTGCAGAGTGGGAATAGCATGTGTGCGGGAGGGAGCGTATGTAAGTGTTTCAGTCTGCTTCAGTTCTGGAAGCAAACAGGCCACAAGGATAGAGCGCAGGCAGATAAGTCAGCGATGGGGAAGCTCAAGCCTCGCTTAGCAGAGTTGTGCGACTGCTGCTTCCAGGTTCCACCAAGACCTTGCAAGAGCCCCATAATGTTGCGTGGAGGGCTTTGGAGACCCTGGTAAGTGAGGGGCTCTGCCTTATATACTGTGGTCTCAGGACGATTGTGCAAGACCTCTGAAGGCCTCTAACAGGGCTCTTGCGGGATCTCACTAGAAGCTGGAAGCCACTGCTTCTCCTTGCTTCTCTAGCTGGGGTGCATACCTGCCAAGGCGCCCCTTGGAGTCTGCCACCTGAGGCAGCTGCCCCCGGTTCTTGTGCGGATAAAATGAGGAAGAGAACTATGTACATCACCTTGAGCAACTTGGAGGAACGACAGGGTGTAAACATAATAATAATAATAATAATAATAATAATAATAATAATAATAATTGTACACCACATCAGGAGAGACCTTTGATTCCCCACCTCCACCCCCTGGCCACCGTTTCTGTTTCCTTTGCCATTTTTGATGCCCATCACTGGGCATGGTGTTGACTTGACTACTCACTAGGGTTTGGTGTGAAGGTGGGGTGTCGCGTTGCTCCCTGCGTGACGGCTGGTGACGGCGGTGGCATGTTGGGGGGCGTGGATCGGGACTGCGTCTTCACGTCGGCCGGTGAGTCAGGCATTGTTGCTGCCTTGATCTCCGTACTACCTGCAGAACAGAGAGAGGGAGGGGAGGGGAGGAGGTACAGGTGAGGAGAGTCAGAGGCAAAGATACTGGCCAGGAAACAAGAAAGGGAATATTTAGGATGGAAGCCCCCAGGGAAGACATGATTCATGCTGATGCCCGCTTCAGCCACATCAGGGATGGGGAAGCATTTTCAGTCTGAGGACCACATTCCCCCCTGAGCAGCAAGCAAACATGCTCCTAGACAAACAGCTCAGCAGCCATGGGAAATTTCCCAGTGCCAGCTGAGAAATAAAAATGCTAACTGTGGTGGGGTATGTGCAATGCAGTATCCCTGATGAGGGCACAGCTGGCTGGCTCATTGGCAGGCACCCTGAACAGGAGCACACTGCAATGTTTTGTTGCGGATCCCATGTAGCAACATCAAAAGCAATGTATATAATGTATACATAGAGCCCTTCTCAAGTAGACCAAAGCCTCATCTAGTCCAGCATCCTACATTCCACTGTGGCCAACCAGGTGATTCTCTCCTGAGAAGCTCACACAAGGAAGCCCCAAAGGCAATGGCCATCCCTTGGCGATAGCCCCTGCCCCAATTCGGTGTCATGCAGCCTCTGAACCACTCAGAGGTTCCAAAAAGCCATCCTGTTTTTGTGGGGTGATGAATGTGACTTGTGGAAGTGTTATCAGGATGGGAGGGACGAGGTGGGCTGGGAGACGAGAGGTAAATGGCAGAGGAGCAGCCAGCCCACAAGAGCAGCTGCCGGGCCGTAAGGAAAGGCACCTGCCTCTGACTTTGGAGGCCGCCAAGTTCATTTCTCTCTCTCCTAAAGTAAAGAGGATGCAGTTGAGTTTGATGGCTCAGCGCAAGTGCGAGGGCAGCTGTGGCACTCCGTCACTGAGCCTCGCGCCGGCAGGGCCCTGCCAAGACCCAGATGAGGACCAAAGAAGGAAAGCCTCCCCTTCGCCGCCCTGGCTTGGGGTCAGCCAGCATCTCCTCGAGGTGACACTGCCTCCATGAGACCAGCAGAGAGCTTCTCTGCAGACAGTTGCACGGCTGATAAAAACTCTAATCTGTGGCGCATTCCAAATGCATTGCAACTGTTGCACGATTAATTGAACACACACACACACAATGTGCACAGTCCAGGCTAAATAAAGCTGTGATCTTAGCCAAAGGAAGATATCACTGGGGTGCGCAGAGGAGGCAACCTAAGCTGGAGCTGAACATAAGTGATCATACATGATCTGTTATGGATACAGGTGGCATGGAAACCCTTCACATGAGGGAGAAGTCTGGCTTCAGTGGGCATTCATGAAGGCTTGACTCCATGCAAGGTATAGCCTGGGAACACAGAACCAAGCCCAGACCACTGGTCTATCTAGCTCAGTATTGTCTACACTGACTGGTAGAGACTCTCTAAGGTTTCAGGCTGGGATATTCCTGGTCCTACGTGGAGATGCTGGGATGGGGCCTCGGACTTTCTGTAGATAATCTGCAGTTGAGCTCTCAGTGTACCCAGCTGTCCTCCCTCATCATCATTCCAGGGTTCCTGAACACAACCTCCCCATCTTGCAACATTTGGTTTTTAAAATTTAAAATATTGGGTTGTATGCAATGTTAGTCCTATGCAGAGTAGACCCCATTTCCAAGTAATGGCCTATCAGTGGTCCATTCATTTCAGTGGGTCTACTTTGAGTAAAACTTAGTTGGCTACACCCCTTTATGTTTAAACAATTTTATTCATCTCTCTCTCTCTCTCTCTCTCTCTATCTATCTATCTATCTATCTATCTATCTATCTATCTATCTATCTATCTATCTATCTATCATCATCATCTATCTATCTATCTATCTATCTATCATCATCTATCTATCTATCTATCTATCTATCTATCTATCATCTATCTATCTACCTAAGTTTCAATTATGGGACGCTGTGGGTTAAACTACAGAGCCTAGAACTTGCTGATCAGAAGGTCGGCGGTTCGAATCCCCGCGACGGGGTGAGCTCCCGTTGTTTGGTCCCTGCTCCTGCCAACCTAGCAGTTCGAAAGCACGTCAAAGTGCAAATAGATAAATAGGTACTGCTCCGGCGGGAAGGTAAACGGCGTTTCCGTGCGCTGCTCTGGTTCGCCAGAAGCGGCTTAGTCATGCTGGCCACATGACCCAGAAGCTATACGCCGGCTCCCTTGGCCAATAAAGCGAGATGAGCACCGCAACCCCAGAGTCGGTCACGACTGGACCAAATGGTCAGGAGTCCCTTTACCTTTAAGTTTCAATTGTATAGTTGTACAAATCACCCTGGGGTTGCTTTGATGAAGAGTGGTTTAGAAACTGTATCAATGAATGAATGAATGAATGATTAACATAAACATGGGATCTATCTCTGAGGCACCCACAAAATTTTATTTTTTTATTTCATAATTATGGCTGTTACAGTTTCTCCTCCCACAATGATGTGGCAATGAGGGGAAAATTAAGGGGTGGAAGAATTTGACCATCTCAGTTTCCCCCCGTTTTCCATTTTTCAAATTCTAAGTTTTCCACATTCGTTTGCCATTAAAAAATTTTTACCATGAAAATTCATTAGTATATTGATGGGAATTTCTCCTAATATACCTGTTTTCATATGCAATTTTGCCTAATATACACATTTTTGCAAAGTGATCTTCCCTAAAACAATGCATTTCTATTTTCATTGGTATTTACATTTTCATGGACACTTTACCCGAGTATGTGCATTTTTGTGCACCATACTTCAACTGGAGAACCGCACTGCAAAATTTAGAGAAGTGTGGCTTTCAAAGGATTGCTATATTTCAGTTTGCATATTTTTTCACATAGTGCAAATTAAGCAGGTTCGCCTTGAAATGCAAAATGAATCAAATTTCTCTCCCACACGTAGGGAAACCCTAGCAACTCATCATCATCTCAGCTTGAGAGCCACTATAGAATGCTGGGCTAGGGCCTGGGAGAGACCAGGTTCAAACCCCCACTCAGCTGTGAAACCCACCGGGTGACCTTGGGCCAGTCACTAGCCTACCTGACAGGGTTGTCAAGGGGAGGAATTGAGGAGGGGGGGAAACCATGCGGGACACCTTGAGCATCTTGGAGGAAAACACTGGGATATCAATGCAACAGGTAAATAACTAACAGCTCCCTTCAATGCTTGCTGTTTTAAAAATTCACCATCCACTTGCCCAGCCAGTTAGAAAGAGCCCCTCTTGCCAGCCACCCTTGGATTGCCTCCCTCTCGCTCCTCCTCCTCATTGATGAGCTCTGTGTTCCTTTGCCAATAAGCAATGCCAAGGCCGGAAGGAGCCAAGAGTCATCCTTTACTTGTCAATGATAGTGATGATGAATAAATTGCCCTGATCTCGACTCTGCAAGGGTGGGAAGAGGGGGTGGGGGACTCCGTCCTGGGTATATCCCTGAACCAATAACTTGCCTTGCACAAAGCCCTTCCCAAAATGCCAAGCTGCTGTCCACAATTCCAGGAGGTGCAAGCAGCTTTCGCAGGCAGTGGCCACCCCATCTGCAAGAAACCCCCATGCCGGGCCTTCAGTGTGGGTCATTTTCCATATTTGCTGAAAGCTCTCTCCCCCCCCCCCCCGCCCCGCATCCAAAGAGTTACACGTTGTGGAAAGAACTCTGGAAAGGAGCCAGGGAGAGAACCACCTCAGCCCCAGCAGGGCCGCCTTCCTTCTCAACGCCATTCCCAGCATGCAGCTGAGTTCGGGCCAACAAACACGAGCTTTGCCGGCTATAAATCAGCTCCGAAGGCAGCTCCGGCTGAGGCCAAGGAGACGGAGAGGAGACTCCCCAGCCTTGCTTGGAGTCCCTTTGGCTCCGAAGCCTTTCCTGGCATTGCAAGCAGGCCTGTCCTCTCTGCAGCGGCGGGAGGGGGTGGAGGTTACATGCCACAAAGTTGTCTTAATCTTTTCCCGCCATGGTTACGCCAGACACAGGGCTTAGGGCAGATCCACACTAGACATTTTAATAATAATAATAATAATAATAATAATAATAATAATACCCCGTTCATCTGGCTGGGTTGCCCAGCCACTCTGGGCAGCTTCCAACACATATAAAAAGCATAAAGATAATCAAAACATTAAAAACACATGACTTCTCCCAAAGAATCCTGGGGACGGTATTTTACCTTCACAGAACCACAACTCCCCAAACCCATAACAAACTACAGTTCCCAGGTTCCTGGGCGGGGGGGGAGGAGTCATGCACTTTAAATGTGTGTCAGGTGTGTTTTAAATTTATGGTTTGGACCTGCCCTTAAAATGTGAGCCAAGTCAACCCAGGGGCTCAGCCCCAGAACCTGTTTGCAATTCCACAGAGTTCAGCCTGCAGAGTTATGCCAAGTCACAGCGCTTCTGAGCAACATCCAAAATAGGTTCTTTTTATCACGGAAGCCTTGTAGCCCCCTGAGCACGCATACTGTGGTGTAGCCAGTGCTATTCTTGCTCAGGGTAGACCCACTGAAGTTAATGGGCATAATTAACGTAGGTTCATTGATTTCAGTGTGTCAGAGGGTTCAATTAGGTTCAGTTTCAATTGCTGAGGGTCTTGACTGACCTCTTCATTATTTTCTGTCTGCTGCGGCAATTGTAATGCATTGTGCTGGACGTTGTATGTATTTACCTGTATTTTACACACATGCTGTGGACCACCTGGATGTCTTTCACGGACCACAGTTTGGGAACCATCAGACTGAAATAGATCTGGGTCAAGTTTGAAATAGACATGGTAGGCTGAGAACAGTATGCTTTGGTTAATAGGGACAATTGGAATGTGTGTTAGGGTCAAACAGAAAGCAGATCTTTCTGCTTGCAAAGTCTGCCTGCCTTTTTCGGTTGTTATTCTTTTTCCCTAGGCAGAATGCTGGCTGTGTATCCCCGGCTGCAATTGCTTCACAGAAGCAGCTGACAGTGGTGGAAATGTGCACCAGACATGTCTGAGCGAAGCACACCCAAGGGAACCAAGCCACGACGTAAGGAATGGCTAGT